TAAGGTAGATGAAATTCCGGCTCTTTTGACACTGGATTAATTACAAGCTCATTGACATCTCATGAACTCACACACAAAAAGGCGTTTTGTTTCAGTTCTTGATTCATTCCTAGACATCTATAGAAGGAAGAAACATATAAAAAGACTTGGCTGCCATTACTCTGCAAAGCAGAGGTGCCCTCCCCGCTGGCACACCATGGATACCATGCAGACGCAGCACGCTCCTGCTCTGGTGTGCCACAGTGCCAGTCTTGTCAGCATGTGTATGGCCAGCCTGAACAAGGGGGGGTAACGGGACACCAAAAGAGGCAGAGGGTTACGAAGTTCTGGTGGGGCTGGACTCCGCTGTCCCCACAGTAAGGTGTACCCCTGGTACAGAGGACTGCTGAGAAAATGAAGAGCAAGATGCAAGTGGGTTTATTTTTCAATAGTTCCATGACCTGGAAGGGGTAGTCCTGGTTCTAGGACTACTGTCTCACAAAACAGAGAAAAGATAATTACTAGTCAAGCACTCTCTACCCAACCAACCACTACTAGCGCTGTACCAAACCCACAAGCCACAAAGAGAACTCCGTGCAATTTTATCTTTCAGCTTGTCCTCTTAATGAGTTATTTTAGGCATCTACTTTTGCTGGAGGCATTGTAAGATTTCTGCTTGTCATGTAAAAAGCTGTATTTCCAACATGGGAGCAGCTGTTTTGTTTTGTTTTCTAATAGCGCCTCCAGGTCAAGTTACTTGTCTGTGGAAACACGGATCCCAGGGTCAGCAGACTTCCGCACAACAACTGACTTACAGAGCATCTTAAGTTAAAGCTACGGTCTAGAAGATGTTTTCTTGCTCTCAACAGTACACCACACATCACAAGCTAGAGCACAGGTAAACTGAAAGTGCATGGGGTCTTGAGAAGGTAAGGAGTGAGAACCCAGTGCATTTCACATAGTGAAAGCAGATTTTAGTTCCTCAAGAAAAACGTATTTCAACATATTTTGGCTGAAGGCTTTACCAAAAACATTAAAGCAAAAATCAATGCCATTTTGTTTTGCTTATTATGTAAAGCATACACTCTGTGAACACCCATTACAGGCTGCTTTCTGAGGTGAATGAAAACCACCAGGGGCTTCTACTTTGTCAGAGCTCACTGCAGGCCACTGCAGTTTTAGTGCCCTTGATGACCTGGGCTAGGTCAAGACTCGCAGCAGGCTCCCACCAAGTGACTGAGCTGACCTAGCAGCACGCTGCTGTTGAAAGGGGCTGTCCCACTCTGTCATCACCCTCCTCACTCCAAGCTACAGCTGCAGCAGTCCTGATCTTCCCTCATGCTAGCTCTGGCGCTCATCGAACTGCTCAGCGAGCCAGTTCAGTTCACGACCTGAGCAGGAAATCACTCTTTTATTTGCAGGGTTTGGCTTCTGCTGGTTTAGTGAGTTTAAACTGCAGTGGTAAGCCTAGGTGGGTAGCAGACCAACAGTGAGTAACCGAGGCAAATAAAGTACATCCTCTAACACACCAACCTTAGTGGGCATGTACACAGGCAAAGCTAAGCAGTGGTACCTGTTCTCTAGTAGCAAGATCTTCTCAGACTTTGCCAGGGATTTCTGCTCCTAGCCCCTGGATCACAACTGTGAATTTGAAGGGAAGTCAGGGAGCGCAGGAGGAAGGAGCGAAGGGAAGTCAATCAGTCTGTACGTGGCAGAAGTTCCAGCGGAAAGCTTTTGTCATCTCAGTAAGGAGCAGCGGAGAGCAGGTGAGCTTTACATCCCAAAAGAGTATGTACAGAAAGAGCATGGCAGGACATACAGCAGTGCCAAGGGGACTGTCCTTGTCCTGTGATGGGTCTCCTTGTCTTTGAATCAGCTCAAACCAACTGAGGAATTCCAGGGAGTGACACAGAAAGCAACCAATTGGGTGTAACTATTGTCAATGCAGTGTAATGTTACTAAAATTACCGCTCAATTTTTAAAGTAGATGCATTTGAAAAATCTTTTGGGAGCATGACAGAAAAACATTCAGCTTACTTCCTCAGAACTCAGACTTGCTGTTAAGTTTCGATTGTACTGTGCTAGAGCGCAATGCAGCAAGCACCTGTGCTTGCCAACAGTCCTATTGACTACAACTGGGGCTGTGAACACTATGTGGAATAAACTGTATTTGTAAATGTTTTGGGGAATTCCAAAGTATCTAAGAGACAAATTTCACTTGTAATATGCTGAATGCTCAGTCTTTGTTTTCTGTATCAACAAAATGAGTAAGTTCGCTTTCCTGCAATGATTTTCAGACCGGAACAGCACTTTCATTGCAAATGCTGATCAGGCTGTATAGTATCAGAGCGTCCTGGTTTCGGCTGGGATAGAGTTAATTTTCTTCATAGTAGCTAGCATAGTGCTGTCTTTTGGATTTAGTACCAGAAGAATGTTGATAACACACTGATGTTTTCAGCTGTTGCCAAGTAGTGCTCAGACTACTCAAGGACTTTTTGAGCTTCTCCTGCTCGGCCAGGTGCATAACAAGCTGGGAGTACAGCACAGCTAGGACAGCTAACCCAAACTGACCAAAGAGCTATTCCATACCATAGAACGTCATGCTCGGGGGGGTTAGTTGGTCGGTTGGTCACGGGCAGGGTGGTTGCAGCTCGGGGACTGATCGCAGCTCGGGGGGAGTGATCGCTGCTCGGGACGGGCTGGGCATCGGTCAGAGGGTGGTGAGCAATTGCATTGTGCATCACTTGTTTTTTATATATTCTGTATATTCTCTTACCGTTATTATTATTACTATTGTTATTCTTCTCTCTTATTAAACTGTCTCTATCTCAACCCACGGGTCTTACTTTTTTTTTCTTTTCTACGATTCTCTCCCCCATCCCACTGAGGCGGGGGGAGTGAGCGAGCGGCTGCGTGGTGCTGAGTTGCCAGCCGGGTTAAACCACAACACAGAGTCTGCCGCATGCATTACTATTCAATTTCAAAAATTTCGCTTGTTTAAGTTTGCAGCTTTTGCCCCATAATTCCATGAAAATTCCCAGAATAACCAGAAAGAATTTGGTCCTACCCTCCACCCTGCTTTTAATTAAAATGCGTATTTTTCTTTGTGGTTCAGCCAACTTTTATTTGAACTCCTTCAGAACCTGCACATTCCTGCCTTCAAGCAATTACTTTATTCCAGCACTTGAAGTCACAGTAACAAAGGTCTAATTTGGATTTCTCATCGGCGTCCTTTGTACCAATGACTGGTTGCAGGAAGACCCTTTAGCTTCCAAGCAGCATCCTCATCTTCTCTATAATCACATAAACTGTTAACAGTTATTAACATTAATGCTGCGCCCCAACAAGCCCTTCTTTCACGTCTGCCTTCGGTCATGCTATTTCAGATTGTCACATTTTGAGTAGCCACGTGCTTCAATACCCATCAGAGGCTTCTCCATTTCCTCGAATCACTGGCTAAGCTGCCGATCTTCTGCTCTGAGCTCACTCTGGCAACATTCAGATTGCTTCAGAAGTTCGGGCACGACACCCGGACGGCCACGCAGAACGGCAGGAGGGCACGACTCAGAAATTTGGGCACGCCACCTGGACCCGGAGGCGCAGTACACCTCAGTGATTTCCCCTAGCTGAACCACTGGCAGAGCGTAACGCGCATCACGACTGCCGCAACGCTCCCGCCGAGACACACGCCACCCCTGGCGGGCACAAGAGGGGCCCGCGGCGCCCACGGGGTGGCCTCCATTCCGCCACCGGCCGCCCAGGCCCTCCCCGGCG